TTATATTTATTTTATACTACTTTATACTATTTACTATTACTATTTACTACTATAGCATTTACTATTTAATCCGTTAAGCTTCGCAGTTGAATTAACAGTTATGTGGATGACATTGGTAAAGTAACAGCGCAAGAGAACGAAAGAGAGCGAGCTTTTTGCCGTATGTAAAGAGAGTTTCTGGCTGAGGAATGGGCGCAAAGGCTTCCTGCCATTCCTTAGCATGCCACACAAAGAAGACATGAATGATTGTCATAACCGGAAGAAACTCACAGCCGAGTTATCTAGAAAATGAATGGCATCATTTGCAAATCGCCATGTCTGCTTATCAGACAATGCCAGGGCGCTGAAAATATTGACACAGACATTTATTGACAAAGGGATTTCATCAATTCCCAAACAAATATATCGACATCAAGAAATCTCTTGCCCCATAATCCCATAATCGGAATAAGCAACTTGTAAATAAACAAATTTGACAGTTTTCGAACAACTTTTTTAAACAATTGTATATAAGGAAACAGCTCTTAAAATATTTATATAAACTTTTATAAAATCAACAATATAATTTTGATTCAGTTTAACATTGGATGTTCAAGGTTCATTGCGGCAAATGATGGAAATACGGCGTGTTTTCGTAACGGGGTTGCCAAGGAACTTGGAATGCTCGTTGGCGAGGATTTCATGTGTGAAATTATAGCGCGCTGTGTGGCTCATTATGTAGAGCGAACGACGCGGCAACAGGAGATCCGCATAGAAGTTGTTCTCTAGCAACGCCGCTGGCTGCTGCCGATACGCGGTGTCCTCGGCGCTATCACTAGAACCGTTTTGCTGATACTTCTGAGGATCTATGCGAACCAGACGCATCACACTGTCGCTGAGCAAACTGATGCCGGAGATGGTGTTGCCGCAGTACTATCATAGAGATATACTATTAAGGTATTCCTAGGTGATGACCCGACAGACTTACGCGGACGCTGTCCACATGTGGCTTGATGACGCCATCGGCGGCTAGATCCAAAATGTGCACGTAGGGCATGATGGCGCCATTGAACGCCACCTCACGCACACGCTCCAAGAGCTCACGATTTTTGGGATACCACTTCTTGCGCTCTGTCTCCCGAAAGCCATGAATCGCCTACACGAGAGTTAGCTTAACAATAGCAAGAGTGCTTTGATTATCTGCCAATACTCACATCGTCCCAGTGATCAAACTCATAGCGCAGTCGGCTCATGTATGGCTCAATTTCTTCATGCAGTTGCTTCTCCTCGGCCTCGCTTATGAAATCTGGCACGATACGCATGTCCTGCTCAAAGTCTTTCCTCTCCGCTGATGGCCAGACGCCATGAAAACTTGTTAAGCCGGCGCTGCTTTTGGTTGCCGCAACTAGTTCGAAGCAATAAAATCTATAAATCTTGCCATTTTTAATTTGTAAATAGCTACATACATACCCGCACGATGGCATCGTCTTAAAATTTGACGAATTAGTTCGCCACGATATTGAATAACCATTGTTTTGCAAAAGAAAGTTACACAAACTTCTTTGCCCAAGTCCTGCGAACAGCTGTTCGGTTATTCAATAACAGCAAAATTGACGATTTACCCAGCCCTGGCTGCAAGCGCGCAAAGTTGTTACGAAGTTATCGTTTATCGGTATTTGAAACAAAAAATAATCGAACAAAATAAATTGATTGTACAAATTAATACATTAATTAATAAATATTGACAAATCGCTTGATCTTAAATTTGTTTTTCTTTTTTTTTTTTATGACCTGTGAGCAATAATTGTTTGGGCAGCACAAAAAGCCGTTCAATCTATTTTATTGTATTACTCCATTTACGTGATACGGATTTACCTGCCACAAAATTAAAAGGGTTACGAAAGAAAACAAACAATTTATAACGCAATACAAAAGCGACGAGGGTTGAGTGGGTGGTTGATTGGAGGCGGATGACTCTTCCCCTGCTGTTGCCGCACAGCAATTCAGCGGAATGTTGCTTGGCATTTTTTCAAGCAATTTGACGACCCGGCCACAAGCTGATTACATCAATGCAAATGTAATGGTAGGGTATAGGCTGGTGTTGGTGTTGGAGTTGGAGCTGAAGTTGCTGTAGGTTATAGGTGGCTGTATCAAATGGTCTTCGGTCCAGTTCGGTACACACTTCTTGCAACATTGCGTAGTCTATGCTTCTATATATAGTGCAAATAGGCGCAGTATATTTCCACAGTAAAAAAGAAAGAAAGGAACCTGACCCAAAGCTCTCTCGCTGCGCATCTGTGTATCTGGTATTGTTCATCTGTGCGCCAACGTGCGTTGGTGTGTAAATGATAAATGAGCGAAGCACTGTTGCCCGTACGTTCAACTGTTCCGGCACCTCAGGCAACGCCATCAACGGGCTATTAGGCGCTATTGTCCTTTCACGTTGCTTTGTTCGTCTTAGACAAGAGAAAACCTTCTCCCCGAATAATGCCATGAAATGTTGTTTCTCTCTGACTTTCCCCTTCCGGCAGGGTTATAAAACAGAATTCTTACAAAATAAAATGTGATTTATTTTTTCGTCATTAATACACAATTATAAAATAAGAGAATGTAAATATTCCATGGCTTAACTACGTTTAGRTRTTGTGTATCGGCTGACAAKTATAAATTAAGAAAATTACTATAGATTAACATAAGAACACATATTTCAAGATGTTTAACTAGGATTAATTAAAGCATAAAGCTTGGGTCAAGTACTTAACAGTTCTTAATTTCGGATATAACTGTCTAACATTGTAAACTTTATCAAACTTAATAATTGTACTTCTAATCCTACTTGTAATCGAGTTAACTAATTTTGTATGGGCTTTCGAACACGCTTGTGACTCAGCGCCTGGGCCAGGAGCATACGCTTGTGCTCCAGCTGTGTGCAAAGCCCAAAGGACTGCAGAAACGACTCCTTGGGACTCTGTGCTTTGGCCTCGCTGTTTACCTGCTGCTTCTTGAGGCGCGCTCGCTCCAGAGCTGCCTGCAAATGAAGGCGACTGGCATTCACAGCATCGCTCTTGCTGGCATCCTCAGATGGCGTTGTCTTTGTTGCTTGTTTGCTGCTTGATTTAGGCGGAGCAACAGCCGGAGGAGCTGCAGCTCGAGCAGGGGGAGCAGCTGGAGCACGAGCAGGGGGAGCAGCTGGAGCACGAGCAGAGGGAGCGACAGAAGCAACTGCATTCACAGCGCCTTTCTTTCTGCCGCTAGTTGTCGATTTTGTGGGCTTTGTGACCTCCGTTTTGGTGCCTAACGAGTTCTTCTTGTCTGCGTCGATGGTGAAGTATTTGCGAAGCAATTGGTTCTCTGTGGGCCGCTCTCTGACGGTATGTGGCTTGAAGGGCAAGAGGCTCTTGGTGCAGACCAACGGGACAATAGCTTCACTGACCATTTCGCTGATCAGATCGCTGTTGGGCTGCAGCTGTTGCTCCGTGAAGGGTAAGCAGAAGTTCTCGATGTCCTCTTCTAGACGAATCATCAAAAATTGGCACTCTGCATTGATCTGATGCACAGTGTCTTCGATTTCGAGTAGGTAATTGTTTTTAGTCTCGGGATCCTTCAAAATAATGGAAAACATAAGAACTTGAAACTGGCGTGTTCTAATCGGGTGTGACCGGTTAGTAGATACCCCGGAACTTGAGCAAGTGCGAGTATCGATGTAAAGATACTGTACAATTGATATAACGTAGATAAGTTAGAAATTGTACTGTGGACTATATACAAAAATCAAATCTCTAATTCTCTAGATTTTAAAGTTTTCGAGATTAATGCAGTCTCATGGAAGGATCAGTCCTGTCGTCTTCGAAGTTTCAGAATTATTTTCAAACCCTATTATATCCTAAGCTCTATACCTTGTTCCAGGGTATAACAACAACAATAACAACTTACGGCGTCTGCTTGCCCGGCAAAGACATTTGTGATTGTCTGCAAAAATTAGAGGACACAATATGAAAATCTATTATGATGAGTCAAATCGTGCGCTAACAAAGAGTACCTGATGTACGGAAAGATAGTTTTTCATAGCGCGCTGGCAATAGATTATGTCGTCGAGTAGTTTGGTTGGCATCTTGTAAAATTGCTTGAGATAATATTGAAAGAAACTGTGGGCGCTGTGCATCGAATTGGCTTTGCGCATTTTGATGAGGAACGCCGTGATTATCTCGTGACGTTCCTTGACGGAGAAATCGTTAAAATTTATGGATTCCATTGGGAGTAAATAAATATCAGCGCATTAATTCCACTTATGTTTTGATTGTGTATTTTGATGCTTCTTTTGCCGCTAATTTATGCCCAGGGTTGATTGGCATCGATAGTTCAACACGTTTTCCAACACTGAGCCGCTCTTGTGCTTCTGTGTTGCTGATTTCGATTAGTAAGCGGATCTTGAGCGTTAAATTTGAAAGACAAAAGTAAATGCTCAGGCAGAAATGTCGATTATATATTTATGCATAATATCACCTGGCTGTTTATCTGAGTGAGGAATTATTATTAATTATTATTTTTCTACAATTGAATAATAGATTTTATTCTATTTTACTTCTCTGAAGTAAATTTCAAATCACAGCGTAGAGAAAGAAGGAAAAATAAATCGTTTACACTTTTAAATTAATTAGCCCAACAGTCTATTAAAGTAATGATAATATTTTAATAATAATTGGGAATCCCCTTCTCACAGGGCGCCAGAGGCAGAAGAAAGGGCGACATACTTTCCTTTTTTCATTTTATATTTTGGTCCCTTGCCGCTTATCAACTATACATTTTGCCTTAGATATTCCTGGGATATCCCACGCAACTTAAAGGCTTTTCAGCGTCGGTACGTTTAGTGCCAAAGTTTTGCCTGCGACGCAGAAACCGCAAAAGGGTCTAACCAATACCACTTCCCCCCTGGACTAGTCAAGGCATAATCTCCGCAAGGCTTTGTCGTCGCCACAACAACAAAACGCAAAAGCAAAACTTTAACCAGACAACACCACAAACAAGCAACTTAAATCTTACAATAAGCTCTGCCATCCCAGTCAGAAATACGATCAATAAAGCTAACTTAAAGCTCAAACTCCTAACTCATTGATTCACGGCAATGGCTACGGCGTTGTACGGCCATCAGTTAGTTTAAGTTTGTACTAATTGGATGTGTTTTGCTTGAAAACGATTTTAAATTTATTTATTTTGTAGACCTAACCTATCTAAATAATCATGTGAATCATCTGAGAATATCTGGCAGAAATCACTAGAAAAAATCTCATCTCATATTTTATTAACTCTCATTAGAATTAGATTGTCACATTAGATTTTTTGTAGTCCTTGCACTCGTAAGAGATTTTTTTTCATATCACAAGCACTTTTAATAAATTGAACTATAAAATTAAGATCTATATAAAAATCGAGTTCATTAAAAACTCTAAGAAATCAGTAAACAACTTTATGAAAGGATGAAGAAGATATTTATTGAATATTATGAAAGATACAGTTTGACATAATGTAGTTTAGGCATTTATTTTATAGGGTACATACATATATACATACCATTTTTAAGCTTTTTAATTTTAAATTTTTTTTTTTTTTTTTTTCATACGCTTGTGTCAAAGGAAAGTTGGATAGCAAACATAAACTGATTTTTGTAAGGGAGTTCAATCCTGATTTAGTAAGGTCTTGAATTGGGTTATCCAATTTCAAGATTGATAAAGTAGTTTGAAGCTTGTGGCATAAGAAACAAGCGAGTGTCTAAATCAGTTTTCCCTTTACATTTTGTCCGCGCAATAAGTACCACGTTAAGAAAAGTAGATAAAGTTTCATTTTTTGTTGCTTTGCAGAGTTTTACCGCTGAAGTTCGCGGCGCACGTCATCTTGGTCTTCGGGATGGGACGCACAGGCTTTGAGTCGGCTTTCAGATCGATTGCCATGACACTGGAAAAAATCTGCTCGATATCATTGCTCGAGCGATTCGAACTGCTATCGGACTTGAGGAACCTGGTGCATATTTGGAACCTGCGCATGTCGAACTCCTTCCCATAGAGCTTGTACATCTTGATGGTCTTCTTGACGAGCGAAGCTCGCATCTTCAGATCGCTCACCGTCTTGATGAGGGCTGCAAGTGCGATCTCGCAGCGGCTGTGCTCCAGATAGTAGCCATCCGTCTGGCAGCTGCTGATGATGGCCATCACCAGCTCGGCCAGCGGCTCGTTCAGCACTCTGGCCAGCTGCGGCATATCCTCCTTGGCGAACACCGCCCCGGCCAGCGGAGTGAGCACAATCTCATCGCGCTGCACCAGATGCGGCACCAGCTGGCAGTACTTGGCCACAGCCAGCAGACTGGCCTGCTTGAAGGTCAGCTCTAGATTGCCGTCTACCAGGCTGGGTTGCTTCGGCGGTGCCGGATTTCGGGTGTGCAGCACTATGGTCACCCTGTTCTTTATTAAGTAATCCTGGGCGTTCTTTGTCTGCAGCGACATTCTCTGAATCTCATCGAGGTTCTTCGCCTTGGCCTCTTTGGCCTCCTTGCTGTACTCGAAGATCACCTGCTCGGCGAACCGGCGACTCACTGTGGCATTCGCATAGCTCGGCTCGGCACAGAAGTCCGGACAGATCTCAGTGAAAGTTTTGATCAACTTTTGAAAATCAAAAATAAATTTTGGCTTGGCGGTTTCACTCATTTTCTGCAAGGAAATATAGAACTTCACATTATATAATATTGAGTTTTGCCTTATATTATATTTCTAGTGTAGAAATTATGCTTGAAGAAAAGAGACCAATAGGAGAGATCGTAAACGAATGCTATATCTTCTCACATTAAATAATAACAATAAGGGACACATTCAACTGACTTTGACTCTGTTAAAGATACATAAGATAATAACCTAATTAGATTTTATGAGACTACTAGTCATCATAAAAAAAGCCTCTCTTCTTGCGCAGTTCTCAATAGTTCGCTGAGTCGGAGGAATCTCTATATATATATATGTATGTATGCCCAAATATGTCCATCAAAACTGTCTACATCGTACATCAACAGAAATCTTGCTAGTTGTGCGACGTTGTGTGCTTGTTTACAAATCCATATGAGCTTATGTGCGAGTTGTTTTCCAGCTAAGCTCGAGCTCCGAAACTACATACAGTATTTCTACTGACACACTGAAGGTTGTCGTGGAAATCTCTTTAAGGAATGAATATTTCCAGGCTATTTTCACAATATAAGTTTAAGTAATCTGCATTTTTGTTCTCTTTTTAACAAACTACACTCAAACATATACCATATTCAGATAAAATATGCATATACTCGCATTACACACTACACATATATTACATACATATGTATGTTTACTAAATATATGTATATAGCACTTCGAATCAGTTTTATATCTGCAACGAATTGAAATACATATATTGAAATTGTAATCTTTGTTTACATTTCTTTTGTTCTTCTAAAGACCGACAGCGGAACGTCCGATATCTTAATGCTTATGCCTTTGCTTATAGTCACGAACTGAAGTTTGCTCGAGTGCGGCGCAAAACAAAAATCAAAATCGGTCAAGTAATGAGTAAAGAGACGATATTCGATCCCGCCGCGTATCTGTGTATGTGTGAGACATGAAGAGTCTCACCAGGGCTGCAGTGGTTCGAGCGATTCGATACACGATAAAGCACCCAAAGCATATAAAATATAATATTTGTTGTTGTATGCAAAAAGTTGTACAGAAATGTTGCAATTAATGAATGAAATTATATAACATAGGCTATAAATAAAATAAAATATGAATGGATAATTACAAAAAATTAAATTAAAATATAACAAAATCGAATTAGTTGGATTTCGTTTTCTTATTAAAGAAACTGAACAATTATGATTAAATTTTTTAACTTTTTAATATCTATGTTAAAAAAAAAAATTTGTTTTTAGGTGTAGAAAATTGACTAGAAAATAATAAAATAGACTAAAATGTAAATTAAATTTTGTTTAAGTTGGGTTTTTCGTTCAACAATTATAGTTTAAGGAATTATGTTTTTAAGTTTAGATTTTATAGGTGCCCAAAGTTTTTTTAGGTGCTGGTTGAAATCAGCTTGAACGTTCCAAGCCGAAGGCCCCAGGTGCCAGTGCTTAATATTTTAATAAGTTTATAAATATTAACTCAATGTATAATAAATAAATAAATAAAGTATTTCAAAGTCGACTACTCCTCCAGCCTATTCAGAGACGATGGGCGTATACTTACACATATGGCTATTAAAAATAAAATAGCACCGCTTGATTTTTTTTCGACTTTTTAGAGCTTTTTTTTAAATGTATAAAAACGTTGAATACTTTTATAATAATTGTTATTTGTTGCAATTATTTTTGCTTATATAAAAAATAGGCAGATCAATACACTGATAAATGTATCGAGGAGAACTTCTTAAACTTTGCATTTGCAAGTGGTGCTAATTTGTTTTTCCCAGCTGTATGTATTTGTCTGACTCATATAATAATATGAACAGCTTACTATTAGAAATACTACTTTACGCAAGTACAGTACATCTATAATATAATATATAATAATGTCATCAAGCAGTAGCAACTTTGTTCTTTGGGTATTTAAATACAGTCATACTAGCTAATAAATTAACTTTATGTTACAAACTCATTGTAAAGATTATATAACAGAAAATTATATCAATAAGTTACTATAACAGTATAGTATAGTATATAGTAATAGTTTAAAATACAATTAGTAACACAGAGTGTCCTCTGTATAAAGAGTTGCAATCATTTTGTTGTTGTTCTTTATTTAGTGGTCAGGGAAAAGCGTAGAGTATCGTATAAAGCCTGATAAGCGCGTACAATACAAGACAGTTAAATGGTAGTCATAAAAAGTATTTTCCACTGGGAACTCTGCAGCAAGTGCGGTCCAGGATGGAGCTACCCATTTGCATATGCGTGTGTGGGTGGCTCCTGGTTATTGAGTCGCCGAGCTGTGGGCTCTGATCAATTTGCATATGAAATGCTTGTCGCATATCCGTAGTATTGATATTTCGGAATGCCAAAAAGCAAAACACAAAATGGAATAGCAAAATAGCAGCGACAACAAAGGGAATGGCATAATGGGCAGCGAGCAGGGGGGGAGGTGGGGCTTACACATATATCGCCAGCTGACAAGTGACACTTTTTCAAATTGAATTTTTCATTGGCCCCGGACGGCACGAGGGGTGACAGGAGAGGGCGGAAATTCAACAACCGGTGACCAGACAAGTGCTTAGGATTGAGTTATGGATGTGGATTCGGATGTGACTTGGAGCTGGCTGGGGCTTAGCTGTCAGCCCGATCAAGTCGTCTGTTATGGCTGATATGTGACAGAGCTCAGACTGACACACTCAAACACAGAAATCCATTTTGAGAACTAAATCAACAAATCAACAACAAATTGTGCATTTTAGATATGATCAAAAATCGTGCTAAGCCAATCCCCCTAATGGAGCCGGACTATAATGTCATACTGATGCCGATAATATCGGCGGTGCTGTTGTCCTACAATCGGCCCGTAAGCTTGGACGAAATCGTCGATGGAGTCATACAGTTGCTCAGCTCCCAGCGGGAGAAACATAGCTCGCTCGTCTCCTCAAGTCTCGAGGTCACGTCTGATTCGAGCTATGCGCATATTGTGCCCGCACAAAGAAGGAAGAGATGAGTGTGTCCTTCCAATGCCAATCGATCGATCATAGTGATAATGGGTTTTTGAGAATATAACAAATTTATTGACATTTCGAAATATAATAAAAATGGGGGCATTTAATTAGGCAACGCGATTTCTGTACATATTGACAACCCTTTGACATCTTGGATAATTGTATAGTTTTTGAAATTATTAGAGGCATTGAATAAGAAAAATATATATTTTAAGATTGCTTATATTTGATTTATGAATATTGTTCATTGGAGAAATTCGTCATCAACTCCCAGTGAGAGCATCTGGCTGCTAATCCGGTCCGAGTAGTCAAAGTCTTCCAAAGGCTCTAGATATGAGCTAAGCCGGTCCAAGTAGTCAAAGTCTTCCAAAAGCTCTAGATGTGAGCTAAGCCGGTCCAAGTAGTCAAAGTCTTCCAAAGGCTCTAGATATATGGATGAAGCCATTTCGCTTTCCAGGCTGCTGCTTGAAGGTTGCTCATATATCATCTCCAGTGTGTCGCCGCTGAGAGGATCATCCGCAGACCTGACAATGCTGCGTAAGACGGCGTTACCTTTGGACCTGCTCTGATCGCCTGCACTTGGCTGTGAGGGCTCTGCACCTGCTGCTGTGTCGTTTCGCTTGGAGTACTTGACGTAGATATCGTACTGAGCCGCGTCATAAGTCTTGCCATGCTTGGCATAGAGCCGCATGGTCTTTTCGCGCAGCTTCTGCCGCTGGACGGCTGCAGGAACTGTCACCTCAAGGGCGGCCAGTGCAATGTGGCACTGGCTGTGCTGCAAGTGGAAGCCGTCGGTCTGGCAGCTGCTGATAACTGCCCTGACCACCTCGTTGGTGTCCACCCTGCGCTGGAGCAGTTCTGTCAGCTCGACGGCAATTTTCGAAATGTTTTGTGGCAGAAAGACAGCGCGAGCCAGTGGGGTCAAGAGCACCTTATTTCTTGGGTTATATTCACCGAGCAACCCGGTGCACAGTTTGCTGACTGCCAACAGGCCAGCCTGCTTGAGAGTGAGATAGAGCTTCTTGTCTTGCAGCTGCGGATTAACATTGACCGGGCGCTGGAAGGTGTGGGTGTAGATGTAAACGCTTGTGCCCTCATTAAAGATTAAGCGCCACGTTTGGGCTGATCCACTCTTCTTAATGTGCCACATCTTGGGCCCAAGCTCGAAGAGCACTTTGTTGGCAAACTTCAGGCTCTCCGATTTGTCAGTTTGATGGGACTCGCCAAAGTCCGGGCAGATCTCACTAAAAGTTGAGCACAATTTGTTGAAGTCAAAGCCGCTTGCCATTGTTTAGCTGCGCAGTGAAATATGAGAAAGGAAACACAATAAAGTACTTTATTCCATTTGTTTACCACTGTATAAACATACACACACATATACATATATATATATTCGACTGTTTACATTCATCAGCACAAATTAGAAAAAATATTCTTGCCTTGTGAAGCCAAAATCGATCTTTCATTCCTCACTTCCAATATCCAACTGACTGACTCGTTTGCCACTTCAGGCTCCCCGAGTCGTATAGGACGAGAGGAGAGTGAAATGAGTCTCAGAAGAGAAAATTAAATGAATACTCTCTCGGATATGATTGAGATACAAAACAGAGTCGAGTTCGACATATCAAACTCTATCGGCAGCTAAACTTCATATTTTGTTTATATATTCGAGTGAAAAGGCTTATGTGAAATAAGGTAAATAAATACCATTGTATAGCTAAAAGAGATATTTTATTGTTCCAGTCGGACACACCAGCTACCCTGTAGGCATATGATTCGACAAACAGTGGACTCTGAGCGCCTAATAATAATTTATATAAATTTCGATAATAAATAAAGAACTTTCTATTTCATTCTATTGGATAGTAATATTGCGATCAAAAGCTGTTGATTCATAGATAGTGTTTATTTTTATGGCATATGCCAGTCAATAAATAATAATTGTGTAATTCAACATCCATATATCTATATATATACATTAATTAATAAATTGAAAAAT